TCATCATCATCACCTTCATCATCATCATCATCACACTAGACAGCATGTACCAGAACACCAACGTCATCACAGTTTGTACTTCCAGTCATCATCCTGCCTGGTTATTATAATCTTACAAAAACTAAAAAACTTCAAATATAATATATTTAATATAATATAATATATGAAATATATAGACTACATATATCAAACTTAAACGTTTTATTTCAGCTAAGCAACATTTCTGACTTGCATTTAGTTTAGTGATGTTCTAGAAATTACTAAAACGTGAAATTAATGGAATAAAACAGGCCTAATAGAAACTATAGACAGATAAAAGATAAAACGAATAAAAATGACAACAAAAAAAACAATTACTAAAACTTTAAAATGTAAAAGGAAAATACAAAAATAAAAACTAATTTAAAATGTTATAAAGCTATAATAGTATCTCAGTGATACTAAAATAACAGCCTGCTACAAAACCACCACATTACTTACACTTCATCATCATCATCATCATCAATAACTGCTTGCTTGTTTAGAACCATAACAATTCAAAAGAGGAGTGATTTGAAGTACTAGCTTATTTAAATATCTCAATGTGCATTTATTACAAGAAAAAACTCCAAGCAACAGAAATGATTTATTTGCTCGTCGGTCTGTTTCAGATCTAGCCTCATTCATGGATCAAAACACAAGAATATGAATTCCAGAGCGATGAGCTCTATTATTAATACGAAACAACTAATACAAGACAAACCTGTAAATGAAAATAATGTCAGGAATTAGCTAATGTCACTATTCACAGCTGTTTGATTAGAAAATCTATATTTTAATCACTTATTATTAAACGTGCTGAATAGAGTTATCTCAAATCATAAACCGATATATTTCTCAATCATCAGACTGAAGCATGATGGGAAGGGTCGTGCTCATGTAGTGTGTGTGTCTGTGTGTGTGTGTGTGTGTGTGTGTGTGTGTGTGTGTGTCTGTGTGTGTCTGTGAGTGTGCGTGTGTGTGTGCGTGTGTGTGCGTGTGTGTCTGTGTGTGTGCGTGTGTCTGTGTGTGCGTGTGTGTGTGTGTGTGTGTGTGCGTGTGTGTGTCTGTCTGTGTGTGTGTGCGTGTGTGTCTGTCTGTGTGTGTGTGTGCGTGTGTGTGTCTGTCTGTGTGTGTGTGCGTGTGTGTCTGTCTGTGTGTGTGTGTGCGTGTGTGTGTCTGTCTGTGTGTGTGTGCGTGTGTGTCTGTCTGTGTGTGTGTGTGCGTGTGTGTGTCTGTCTGTGTGTGTGTGCGTGTGTGTCTGTCTGTGTGTGTGTGTGCGTGTGTGTGTCTGTCTGTGTGTGTGTGCGTGTGTGTCTGTCTGTGTGTGTGTGTGCGTGTGTGTGTCTGTCTGTGTGTGTGTGCGTGTGTGTCTGTCTGTGTGTGTGTGTGCGTGTGTGTGTCTGTCTGTGTGTGTGTGCGTGTGTGTCTGTCTGTGTGTGTGTGTGCGTGTGTGTGTCTGTCTGTGTGTGTGTGCGTGTGTGTCTGTCTGTGTGTGTGTGTGCGTGTGTGTGTCTGTCTGTGTGTGTGTGCGTGTGTGTCTGTCTGTGTGTGTGTGTGCGTGTGTGTGTCTGTCTGTGTGTGTGTGCGTGTGTGTCTGTCTGTGTGTGTGTGTGCGTGTGTGTGTCTGTCTGTGTGTGTGTGCGTGTGTGTCTGTCTGTGTGTGTGTGTGCGTGTGTGTGTCTGTCTGTGTGTGTGTGCGTGTGTGTCTGTCTGTGTGTGTGTGTGCGTGTGTGTGTCTGTCTGTGTGTGTGTGCGTGTGTGTCTGTCTGTGTGTGTGTGTGCGTGTGTGTGTCTGTCTGTGTGTGTGTGCGTGTGTGTCTGTCTGTCTGTGTGTGTGTGTGTGTGTGTGTGTGGGTGTGTGTGTGTGTGTGTGTGTGTGTCGCAGGTCAGCTGCTGCTGGACAGAGATGAAGAGCTCAGGCCGTCTCTCTCAGATCTGCTGTCTGTTCTGAGCGACCAGAAGAGAGAAACCGGCGACCGGCGGAGGCGGAACTTCTCTCTGGGACTGGCGGGAATGTGCTGCAATCAGGGCTGCACTAAAAATGACATCGGCCGCCTGTGCTGATGATGATGATGATGATGATGATGAAGGACTCACTGATGAAGAGCTGAACTGATAGATCGTCCCAGTGCTTCATTTGTATTTATTTATTTCACATCTGTTCATATGACCACATGAATAAACGTCAACTTCTTGATTGCATCTTTCATATTTACTGACTAATAATTTGTTCATAAACCCAAACGAATAATTACAGAGGACCAGAATAAACAGTTCTTCTGCAGAGGTTCTGTGTTAGCTCTGATGGCTCCATGAAGAACGATTAACCTTTTGATTAAAAGTGCAAAAGCTTTTAAATAGTTCAAATGTTGTTCACACCGAGACAAAAGGCTGCTGTTTAAAACACCGTGAGGTGAGCGCTTCTGTGGAGCTCAGGCATCCTGCAGTGAACGGCTTTTCTGACTTATTCAATTATTCAATACTTATTTTAGTTAAGTGCTTAAATTGTAAATATGCATTTATTAAATAATTTTATTTAGTGCATTTGTATTTTGTTGTTTTTGTAGGCTATACAATAAAAAGAACCACTGAGGTGCTTCTGAAACTAGCGAGTATGACTTTGAGAGCAGAAGTGGCGTGAGTGACGTCACTACGCGGAAATTAGAATATTCAAATGAGCAAACAATGCTGCTGGTCTGAATGACGTTCTGACGCTTTTGAACGTAGCTGAGCGTGGACGGTGACGTCATGGAGTGACCGAGCAGGTGTGTGTGCTGCCGCCGCGCAGTGGATCTTTAACTTTCGCCACACTTTTTGCCTTCATTAACCAGACTCGCTAGCTTGCCATATATATGTATATGTATATATATTTAATATTTGTTTTATAGACCAGACGTTTACATGTGAATACTAGCAACATATGCACTGATGCGTGTGAAAGCGCGAATAATAGAAACACATTGTTGAACACAAGAGTGCTTCCTAAAACACCTCAGGCTGCGGTTCAGCTCGAATGTCTGAATGAATCCTGCGTGTACCTGATGAGTTCTGTTCTCATTTAACTCGGTTTAACGTCATTATTCCGTTCATCTGGAGTTTGGTTTGAACTGGAATCTTGCTTATGTTCCTGCTCTTTGAATTCAGTCTAGACATGACAAGAATCATGATTTCAGTTCTCAAATCAGAATAAAATCCATACACAGACAAAAAAATAAAACACGTTATTATTTGCTAAATGGTTTTATTTACTTGGTTTTATAGAAAAAAGTGAACATTGCTTTCATATCTTTGGAACATCTTTAACACTCAGTACACCAGTGTACCTCACACAAATATTAAGAAGAATAAAACGCAGTAATTTAGTGCATTCACACGGATTCAGTTAAAGAGTCAGTGTCGTGTTTGAGATGGAAATGAACTTCAGCTGCTTCTGTTGTGCTGGAATCTCATGCATATAAAACCTCTTCAAATAAAATCAAAGCAGCAGAACAAACAAATCTAACAGAAATGAGCGGATCTGATTGTTATCAGGAGGTGCTGGAGATAAACTCACTCACACACACACACACACACACACACACACACACACACACACACACTCTCACTCACACTCTCTCACTCACACACACACACACACACACACACACATCTACAAACATCCCACTGAATAGGAGTCTCATATCAACTGCATAGATTATAATTACTGTACACACAATCCTGCACGTAAAGAGATTTCAGTCTAATGATCTGTCTGTGCTTTAGCTTCCACTCCGCATCAGACGTCTCGGACTGAACGCAGACGGAGGGACGTTCAGCTCATCAGGGGTCATGAAATAATGACAGAAATACATACCAACTGATCTGATTGTATTCTTATATTGAGTGGAAAATACAAATCACAGATTTTATTTTTATCCTTATCCTATATTAACTTTTGTTCAATGAAAACTTAAAAACGACTATTTAACATTAACCACGTCTTTAGAATGTCACGCTTAAAGTAGGGCTTTATGAAATCCATTAGATTTTTTCCCAATTCTGTTTTATTTTTTCCAAATTCCTTTTTTCCGTTTTAATTTTTCTGGACTCCTTTTTAATAGTAGAATTAATTAAAATCATGAAACATATATAATGTCAGATCAATTTATTCAAAGTTTAACAAAAATGACATGTTTAAGACCCTATGAATGGCTTAATTTCTTCTCACCATATGTTTTATTGTTACCAAATTATGTGTTTTATCTAATTATTTGGATGCAGAAAAACAACTTGGGCCTAATTTAGCCTTACGATATGTTGTTCTTTTCCGTTAGAAATTGTGTTGTGTACTTAAATTGTTCTGGTTATCAAAAGAAGGCATAAAACATTAATTTCAGTTATCTTTTAAGTATTGAAAATTACACAAACTGTTTTTGGCAAACAAAGGGGATTTACTATTAAAATAAGAAAAAGGGAAGAAATGTTGTGTGATTATTCTTTAAAAATAATTTTAGTAGTAGTATGTAAATTCTACTGAACAATATTAATATATTTCTGGCACAATGTCTTCAAATTAAACCAAACTTTTAGCATCCAAACACATTAATATTGTTATTTTAAATTTGCTTATTTATAATTATTAATTATTATTATTATTAGTCTTTTTTTTTGACAGTTCTGCAGCTGTTACCTGGATGGGATGAAGTTTTATTATTTATTAATTCATTTTTTTAATTAATTTGCTTGAATTAGGACTACATTAGTATGTCATTATTTGTCCCATTTTTATCTAAACAATTTAGCATTTTTTTAACTTTTTAAAATGCCAAATTGTTTGACATATATGACTATTTATTATGTATATATTTATGATTAATATCAATGATAAATTAATACATAGGGCCTAACATTAATTATAATATATTAATTTATCTGTCTAATCATGTCTAAAAATATAATAATTGTCTACCAAGCTCTGAGAATGCATGGAATATTATATTAACAGATTATCCACAGTTTAATAAACTAATATATACCTGTAGAAGCACGGATGTGTCTGTCACTGTAACGGTGTGGTTCACACACAAATGAAATTCTAAACCTGCATCAAGTTCTTTCTTCTGCTGAACACAAAAGAAGATACTTTGAAGAATGTGTCTCAACTAAACAGCTGCAGGTCCGTAACTTCCACCGTAGAGAGAAATACTGTCGGAGTCATTGGGGACCAGAAACGGTTTGGTTACCCACATTATTTAAAGTATCTTCTCTTATGCTCAACAGAAGAAAGAAATTATTACAGGTTTGGAACAGCTTGTGGGTGTGTAAACGATGACAGAGTTTCATTTTTGGGTGAACTGTCCCTTTAAGTCAGACAGTCCACCGTGAGCAACTGAATGCTTCTCTGCAAGCCGCGCGTTCATCAGTAGTTACCGGACAGACACACTGATAACTTTCCCGTTCAGCTCTACATCTGGAGGGTCTTGTGTTCAGAGGGCAGATGTGGGGTCCAGATGTTTTAAACCGCGCAGGTTTAGCGCATGCTGCGCTCGTGTGAAAAACGCCAAAATCACGTGCAAATGAGCTTCTAGAATACTTCTTATGAAATTGATTTCATTATAATTGCTATTAGTATTATAAACAGTGCAAAATACGTATTGTGTTGGCCTTTGTAAAATACGGGACAAATCGCGTCCCGTATTGATTTGATCAGTTTACCTCTAAATACGGGACGATTTTAAGGGACGGGTGGCAACCCTGGTTATACGGTAAATTCTGTTTTGTTTTTACTGGATTCCGCGATTCCGTGGAAATCATACGGCCCTATTAAAGGCAACATCATATTTCTGCTTCTTTGGCTTTTAACTCGTTTGAAACCCCCTGATAAAGCGAAAGAACAAACGGCATCCCAGAATTCCTGTAAAGCCTTTCCGTTATTCCTGGAGGACGACAGCTGGGCCGTGTTAAGCGCGTCGGGAGACTGATGTTGGCGTCAGCCGCTCCTGCGGTCCTGGATGGCATCGACTCTCTGAGCGAGATCTTTGATCGAGGGCCGATCGCCCGGCTCTGCCTCCCAGCACTCCTTCATCAGCGCGTGAACCTGTGACACACACACACACACACACACACAGACGGGTCACTCTCTGCGCTCTCCGCATGATTCGCTGGCGGTCTCGCGGTCTTCACCTCGGCAGGACAGCCGTCAGGAGCCGGCAGACGGTAGCTGCGCTTCAGCAGCTCGATCAGGTGATAAACGATCATCTGGCCCTGCTTGTCCTCCCCCATCTGCTGCATAAACACCTGACACACAAACACCACGCATTACTAGCGGTCTTACCATACCATGATATCGCGGTGTGAAGTACACGATACGATATTTATTGCGATATTATAAATAATAAAAAAAAGACAAATGAAGAATTGGAAGAAAAATCTAAATGTTGTACATTTTAAAGTTAAATGATTCTAATGCGCTTAGAGTTCAAAATCAAGAGCTCCAACCCATGTTCTTAAGTAAGAAACTGAATCAGGGAATTGACTTGTAGCTGAACTTTAAAGGGACTCAACCCTCTTTTTTTATTTGTGATATTCTGTCTCCGTCTAAATTACATTCACACTGGTGTTTCAGGAAGCCAAACTAATTAGAATATAATAATAATAACAACGACAGCAGTAGTCATATATTGTAAAACAACTGCACTGTAAAATGAATATTTCATCGGTATATTATGTTTGCTTTACACTACAGCAGGGAAATACAATACTACTTTCCTAATTTCTACACTTGAAAGAGATATTTAGAATTTAGGCTGCATTTAAACCGCTAGCTGTCGGCAATTCATGCGTCACTTTTACGCTTTTATTTTGAAGCAAAGCTCCAGCTTCAGTGAAAACAGGCTTACAAAAACACAAACACGTCTCACTACAAATCTAGTGAAACGCTGTCATCATCTGCCGTGAAAATAAAGCTGTGTTCCCAAACGTGCGCTAAACTCACAGAACGTGTGCTAAACGAGTTGTCTGCATTCATTCAGTGTGAACGAGTCGTTCTGAGACGCAGAAAACACCGGATCACGAGCTGATCGTCTGAACCAAGTGTTTGAAACACGCAGCAAAAACAGACTTGCTTTCGGCTCCAGTTCGTTTGACAGATACTGTGCCAAAGCATAATGCCCCAAAACACAACTTTAAATGCATTTCATGTTAGAATAAGAAGCTTAAATGTATATTTGAAAAACTACACTTTTTGCCCGGAAGACCTATCGCTTCATATCGTCATGTGACCACGATAATATCCAGACCGTTTTGCTATCGTGATATTGATAATATCGTTACATCCCTATGAATTACTGTTACAGTTAGTTCTTTCCTGCCTTCATGTCTCGACTGTCATGGTGTATTATTATTATTATGACTGCAGTCAGCAGATGTTTATGAGTCTTGGGGTCTTCTATAGTACAGACCCTGGTAATGTGATTGCTGGTGATTTACTCTGACTGTCCATTAATTATGGTTGGTTTCTGGTAACTTCATGATGTTATGATGGTGAGCAGTAATGATGCTTGGTCACTTACAGCTGGAGGACTGCAGCTTTTGTCACTGTATGTAAAGAGTTCGTAGAGAACGACTCCGAAACTCCAGACGTCTGACGCCACGCTGAACTTGCTCTCAGTCAGAGACTCCGGCGCGTACCTTCATCATCATCATCATCAACACAAAAACACATCAATAACTCAAAAATCAGCATCTGATCATGAGACAATTTTGTAAGAACCGCGTCACATTTCACCCGAAACCATTGTGACAATCTGTAAGGAGAATTAAAGTCTATTTTTTAGACTAGTAAGATTTTGTTTGCACTGCATTAGTTCTGCAGTCCTACGGTGGCCGAGAAGCGCAAAACAAATCACAATTCTGAAAACAAAATTACAAACACAAATGCAAATATAAAAAACTAAATAATTCCGAAAGCATAGAGATTTTAGGAATGCATCGCAATTCTCTCTGGAAATGATTCTGAGCTTAGTTTTTAACAGCAGATGGCGCTCTAGGCTAGTTTTAACCGCACACTCAAACGCTCACGAAGAAGAGCGCTTGTGCATTCGGCCGAATCATGTAAGTGGTTAAATGTACTTGCACTTTTATGCTTTTATGACACAAGATTAATGCAAACACAGCCCACT